ACGGGTGACAAAGGAGCGTGGCACGCATTGGCAGTAGCGACGTTGCAGGCACCCCCTCAGTTTTCCCGAAGCCACTACGGACGAGTGTGGGGTTTTATAGGGTGCACCCAAGGCAGATGACGATGGTGAGAAAAAGAGATGGTGTGTAGTAACTGTGATGGGAAATGTGTAGTACCAAATGGTGGCCCAGGTGCCCAGTGCTTAGGGTAGCAGGCGGGACAGGCGAGATGGAACGGACAACTGGGACGGAGGGTTGGCCGGAAGGGCGAGGGCGGTTCTCGGGGCTCAAGTCGCGTCCCTGGCAGGAAGGGAAAGCCATCGAGAGAGGTGGCAACCCTGAGGAAAGAGTTGGATGCGGAAAAGCATCCAGCCTCTGACGAGTGGGAGGTCACAAAGGGGAGCTATGAAAGGGTAACGAAAGAGCGAGGGTGCGGAGAAGGGGATGGTCGGCACCGAGGAGGAGCCTACCTTGTGGGAAGAGAATGGCCCCTGCAACGAAGGCAGGAATGTCTGCTGTCCTTCTAGGGGCTGGCAGGAAGCACTAATTAGCAATCTGATGGGAATAGGGAGGAGGGATGGGACCAGGAGCACAGAGGGACCTTTCCAGGGCACCGGGTCTCGAGATCTCGCAAAACGGGCACTGAGGCGCCGCCGGGAGCGGAGAGGTCAGGTTCCGCCGCAGGGCTCGGGAGCGGACGGTGCGAAAGCCAGGCGGCAGGTGAATCATTAGCACAAAAAGGGAAAACGGGCAAGCGCGGGGAGAACCAGAGAGGTTGTTTCCCCATCCTATAGCTGAGCCGAAAGAACCTATTAGCGTGCGCACAAATCGCTCCCAGGGAAGCACTCTCGCTTCCTAATTGTTCATAAATTTTCTGACAGGTGGTTAACACAGTAAGTAAGTGTATCACTCCGAGTGTTGCCTTTATTGCCTTTTCTCTCTCGGAGTGAACACCTGGAGACCAAGGGCATGCGCCAGGGAGATGCCGCTAGGCACGGGGCACTCGGAGCTCTGGTTTCGTTTGGGCGAAGTCTTGATACTGGTCCCTGGCAGGGACATTTTTCGCCTCGGGCGAGACCGCGGGCTCCGCACCTCGCGCGTTCCTCAGCCGGCGAGGCGAACAGGTTTGCCGGAGTCCCGGTCGGGTCCCACGGGAGGAGGACAAAGGATAGGTTCCCTTGGGATGTTCCCAGGCTCAGAAGGTATCCATCCATAGGGGTGTCGTGCTGGGGGAGCGTGTCGACTCTCCTGGCCCTTCAGCTGCACGGAAGGGGTGCACAGAAAGACAGACAGGCAGGAGGAGAGAAATGGTCGCCAGGGGAATAAGGACTGGCTGGGAAAGCTGGGTCTTTGTGGCCGAGAGAGGTATTCAGGGGAAGATGTCACACCGGAGGCGCCTCGGCAGACGTGCAGGGACAGACCCGAGGCTGCCGGCGCCATCCTTCTGTGCCTCTCATTGGTGAAGGAGAGGGAAAGCGGTCCCAAAACGGGAGCGGATGGGATGTTTGTTGTTTGGTTACCATCTGCCTGGGTGCCTCCGAGCGCAGTGACTCCTGCGACGGCTCCCTCCTGCCGGCGTGGGCCACAGGAATGGCTCTCGG